GTGCCATAGGTTCGCCATCCCGGCTAAAGGGACTAGAGAATTAACCAGGAATGAAAAAACATGCTAAGAATTTCAATAACTGAGAACATAAGTCACTTATTTTGAGGACAGAGTTATGCATATAAACATATTCACCTACCCCTACTCCACAAATTTCTAAATGGGCCTATCATTATTTACATTGTGTTTTCTAGAATGAGCCAAGCCATTGTTTCCCATCCATCACCTGTAGATGGCATAGGCCCATATGACTGGGTACTCCAGGTTTTTAGTGCAGATTGCAATTATAATCAAGATGACGGCAATATGTCGTATCTGAATGCTCATATAAAGGAGCAGCAAGCCGAAAATCTGCAGACCCCAAGTGAGAAGATTTATGTTGCGTTCATTCTCCAGAGGGCCATATTTGTAGCACACGGCAAAGCTTGCACACCCTACGATGACCAGGTAGCCTGTGGAAGAAGAAAAAGAACTATTTTTATTTGGATTTTCACTATCACCATAAGTTACTTCTATATAATTCAGCTTGTCTATGTCAGCCAATAAGACATTGGTTATAAGTATCACATCTGTTCTAAATAACCTAGACATTAGCATGCAGCCAAAACATTGAAGCCAGAAGGAAATAAAATGCAATAATTCATGCTTCTGACTCAGCATATTTTACAAAATATCAATCAAATACATCATACTTTTTTATCAATGGATAGAAGAAAACAAGTGTTATAAAATATTATGTCCACAAAAGACAAAATATCTTCTTCCAATATATGGTATTATAGAACGGGGCAGGGGGGACTAGAAATTTTAATAATTCATCAAACATTCCCACTAAAAACCATCCAGATGTTTTACACAGATGTTCTGTTCATCTTTTAGTGCTGAGTTTAATTAAGTTTTGAATTCTCTGCTTGATTACAGTATTGTTTCATGTAAGCAGAGCTCTCATTTATGAAAAATTCTAATCACAAGCCTATTTATTGGTACACATATGGCAACATCTGAATTCATCATAGAAACAACTCCCCTTCACAAAACTAATTCCTGACAGGATTGTTTTTCAGTCTCTCGAATTTTAGCAGACTGATCTGATAACTGTAATATAAATCTTATTGCTGGTGATACTTGATACAGGATGGGACAAGATTATCAACTTTTTTTGTTCTGTGACTTTCGTGATTATATGAGTGGCTTTCAAGGCCCCTCTTTGAGGTTGGAAAAACAAAACTTAATAAATCGTAATTTGGAAAATCACATTAAGGAAGTAAATTATACAACACATTGGAAGACAGAATTATATAATGTTTTTATGCCTGATAAAATGGAACTTCATACTCTAGAAACCAATATGTATTTAATAATATCAAGCAAAGTAACTGAAAGATTGAGATTCTCTTGGCAACATTTCGGCGAGGTCTCACTCGCCATCTTCATGATACAGCCACAAAGCCAATCAATCCATTTACTGAAACAATGGCAGCACTCCACATACCCCCACCAAGATTTATAGAAAGAGGGCAGCTCCAGCCATGCTTTAAGCCCAAAACCCAGCCTGAAGATGACAAGTGAGACCTCGCCGAAATGTTGCCAAGAGAATCTCAATCTTTCAGTTACTTTGCTTGATATT